ATCCCACCCTATCATCCTGCCCCTGGGCTCCCTCCCAGTCCCTCTTCTCCCACCCACGAAGAGATCTGCAGCACCGGGGGGGGGCACCAGGAGCTGCTGCAGCCCCATCCTGGGAGCTGGGATGGCAAATATCAACTGCCACAACCCCAAATCCCACTGGTGACCCTGAAAAAAATTAAAATAAACCCTTACTGCTGGCACAGCCGCCCCTGGAGGAGCTGGCTGGGCGGTTTTTGCAGGTGGGGTGGGATGAAGGGGCACAAAAAGGGCAAAGCTCATGGCATAACAGGTGTAAATCTTTTTTCTTCTTTTTTTAAAAAATTTTTTTTAGGACTGGGTGATTGCACCACAGGGGTACTCAGCCTACTATTGCGAGGGGGAGTGTGCCTTCCCCCTGGACTCCTGCATGAACGCCACCAACCACGCCATCCTGCAGTCCCTGGTCAGTGCAGCCCGGGCTGGGGGGACACTGGGGGTCTAGGGGAGCGGTCGGAGCCCGAAGGGTCCCAGCTGAGAGCTGGGTTTGGGGCTGGGCAGCCTGGGCTTGAGAGGGTTCAGGTCAGAGGGGGGCAGGCTGGGTCCAGCTCCCAAAAAAGCATCAGCGGGTGTGTGCACAGCTGGCTGGGTGCATGGATGGGAGGGGATGTGTGCACATCTGTACGGGGACACGCACATCGGGACGGGTGCGTGCACGTCTGGGTGGGTGCGTGCTCATTGGGGCGGGTGTGGTGCGCACATCTGCATGGGAGCATGCTCACCTGGATGGGTGCATTCACAGCTGGATGGGTGCCTGCACATCTGGATATGTGTGTGCACATGGAGTATGTGCACATCTGGGTGGGTTTGTGCATATCTGGATGGGTGCATGCACATCCGGGCGGATGCATGTTCCTCGGGATAGGTGCTTGCACATTGGGATGGGTGTGTTCACATCTGGATGGGTGTATGCACATCTGGATAGGTGCGTGCACTTGGAGTACGTGCACATCTGGGTGGGTGTACACACATCTGGATGGGTGCTGCCCTTGCAGCGGGTGGGGAAGGGCACCGCGTCCCCCGTGCATCCTCCTCGCCAGCCCCATGCAAGGGTTCGCTCCGAGGTCCCCCGGAACACTGCCGCAGCTCAAATGTTGTGCTCAGCATATTCCAAGCAGGAAAGCTTTAATGTCGCCTTTTTTTTCCCCCAACCCACCCCTCATCCCATGCTTTAATTTCTGGAATTTCCTGCCCTGTGAGTGTTTGATTCCCCGATGGCAGAGTCACAGCGGCCCCAGTGCTGGCGGTTAATTACAAGGAGTCCTCAGCCCAGCCTTTGAAGGTGTTTCCTGGCAGGGTTTAATTTTTGCATTGACAAAACTCCCAGAGTCCTGGCAGCAGCGGGGAGGGGGCCTCGTCCCCCCTCCACCCACCCATCGCCCCCAAACCCGCGGCTCTTCCTGAAGCGGAGCCGTTTGGGCAGGATGTGACTCACCTGGCAGCCGGATCCGGCCCTTCTGGGAAGCACGCGGGCGAACGCGGGCGGGAAGCGGTGCCAGCCCCG